TGGACGAAGTCCTGTGTAACATGCTCTAGGAGAACCTGCTTTAGCAGGCAGGTTGGGCTAGATGATCTCCCGAGGTCCCTTTCAACCCTTGCGATTCTGTGATTCTTGTCTCGACCCTTTATTCCTTTTGTGGTCCTGCTTCTCCACCTAAGGACTCCAAAATTACAGTTCAGTTTATTTTCACACAGTAATCCATACTGCTCTTACTTTAACACTCTGCTGCTACATGCCATTCCTGGTTTTGCCCTGAACTGACTTTTTATTCTGCTTTTCCCCCAGATTTGTTTATGAGATCTAGGGCTTATCTCCTCTTTTCTCTGACTGCTCCATTTTGTTTTAATTCAAAATTCTGAAGTAAACTGGTGTAAGACAATCCATCCTACTTTATGTGCTTGTTTTCAGGACGAAGTTCTACCAATGCGTAAGTCTTCCTTGCATTAGCTGAGGTCTCTGTCATTGCAGGAGACTTCCATCCTCCACTGAACAGCAGGACGGAGTAGAGGGAATACTGTTGTCAGCTCCATAGAGGTGGTTGCATTCAATGATGACAGCAGAGAACCAGGTTCTTAAGTGGCCCATACAAGTGGTACAAAACCACTGTGGCTGTTATTCCAACCCACTGAGCTGCAAGCCTGTCCGGAAAATTGTTCTGTGTTTGGATTGTTTATGATTCCTTTTTTAAAATTAATTATTAATTGCAGTGACCTCTTTTAAGTTGAATTGTCTGCATTTGGGGGATATATGCCTATCCCAAGCTTTGTGTTTTGGAACAATCTTTAGATGCCCCATAAAAATTGGGACAGCATTTACATTCCCAGTGCCCGGAGTGCTATGTGCAACACAAGAAGAATAATCGGTTACAGTACCTTATCCTCTGGATTGGCACCTGCCATTTCCTTTTCAACACTGACATCGAGTTCAGATGATTCTTCAACTTCTTTTATTTCTGCATCTAACAAATAAAGCCCCAATAAAATGCACGAGAAAGGTATCAAAGCATATTCTGGCTAAAGAAACAAAGGGCACACTTTTCTTTTACAGCTACTCACAGAATGCTGAAAATAGATTTCTGTGATTTGGAGCTACATAATTCTAGGCTGAAGAAAAACAAATTTGGAAACCTGGATGGCACAGGTGGACAACCCAGTTTTCCTACGTTAAAAGTTAGTTTCACTTATGAATGTTTGGAGATACATATAGCCATATCACTAAAAATGCTCTGCAGCAAGTTTTTACAGGACTTTACTTGCATTTTTATTGCAGTAACTCCATGCTATACCTTTTACAGCTGAAATTATTGGAATGTCAATCCTGATTTTCAGGCCTTCTGACAAAAATTTGCTGACTTGGGAAATGGCCTATACTGCAATATAGATTTGCTGTGGAGCTGAGCAAAAATGACAAGAAAGCGTATGGAGATACATAAATCTGACACAACATTCCTGAATGCAGGCATGCGCCACAGAAAAGGTGCAGTGGATGCAAACCACCCACTTACTTCAATTAATTTATATGACAATTTGCATTATCTGAGCATTTGTCCAAATACAACTTTTATTACATTATTTTCTATTGATTCTGTCATAGACTGTGAAAGCTTTAAAAAAAAAAATAATCCTGTATCAATTATTTTAGCACTTTGAATATATAAAAGCACCAAATTTTACTCACCACCAGGAACAGATTCCAGGATTTCATTAGCACTAAATCTGTGCTTCACACTTAGTTCCTCCACAGTTTCCTCTGGCAATCTGTCTGTTTCACTCACTTGTGATGTCATTACAGCAACGTGGAGACTTTCAACTAGAGAGAAAAACATGCAGAATTACATATTATCCTTAAAAAGCTCCTTAATGCATAAATCAGTGACATAGAATCATAGAATAATTTAGGCTGGAAGGGAGTTGTGGAGGTCATCTAGTCCAACTCAAAGCTGGCTGAACTAAATTGGGTTGCTCAGAGCTTTGCACAGACAAGCTTTTAGTATCTCTGAAGATGGAGACTTCACAGCCTCCCTGGGCAACCTGTTCTGGTTTTTGACCACCCTCACAGTACATACTTTTTCTTTTCATTTAATTGGAATTGCTCATGTTCCAACTTGTGCCTGTTGCCTCTCATCATACCGCCATGTGGCTCTGCGAAAAATCTGTTGTCTCTGCATCCTCCTGTTAGGCAGCTGAGGACAGCAATGAGCTCCCACCAAGCCTTCTTCTCTCAAGGCTGAACAGACCAACTATCTCAGCCTCTCCTCCGACATCATGTACTGCAATGACCTGGTCATCTTGGTGCCCTTTGCTGGATTTGCTCCAGTTTCTCAATGTCTCTCTTGTCTAGGGGAGCCCAGCACTGGTCACGGCACTCCAGATAGGACTCACCAGGAATAAGTGGAGGAAGGATCACCTCCCTCAGCCTGCTGGCAATCCTCCTAGTCTGCAAGGCAGTTGGCCTTCTTTGTGACAAGAGCACATTGCTGCCTCATGGTCAACATGCTGTTGACTAGGACTCCCAGGTCCACTTCTACAAAACTATTTTCTATCTAGTCATTGTCCAGCCTGTACCAACACATGGGATTACTCCATCCCAGATGCAGGACTTTATACTTGTCTTTGTCTAACTTCTAGGGGTTTTTCTTAGTCCATTTTCCCATTCTGTAGAGGTGTCTCCAGCACATTGATCACCCTGCCTCATTGGTGACATCCATGACTTTGCTAAGAGTGTATTCAATCCTTTGCTTAACTCTATTAATAAATATGTTGAATAGTATTGGTCTCAGGATCCATCCCTATGGGAATCCACTAATAACATTTTGCCAGCTGGACATCATCCTATCACTGATCACAATCATTTCAGCCCAGCAGTCCAGCCAATTTTCCAGCCAGTTATGCAGTCTGCATCTCACCAACTCAGCTGTAAAGAAATACTACAGCCCGATCAGACAGTGTTGAAGGCCTTGCAGATATCAAGGTAAACAACATGCTCTGCTCTCCTCTCATCATAAAACACATCAGGTTAGTCAGACACAGTTTGCCCTTGACGAATCCATGCTGGCTGTCCCCAGCTTCCAAGAGGATTTGCTCTATTACCGTCTCAGAAATGGTGGTGAGGCTGTCTATTTTGTAGTTCCCTGTATATATTTCCTTCTCAAAGAGGGGTGTGATACTTGCCTTCTTCAAGTCATCAGGAACCCCTCCTGATCACTGTGACCTTTCAGAGATGACAGAAAGCAGCCTCACAATGACATTGGCCAGTTCCCTGAGCAGCCTTGGATTTATCCCATCTCATCTCATGGATTTGTGTATATCCGATTTGCATAAGCACTCCCTAATTCTATCCTTCTCTACTGTGTGCGATGTTTTGTTCACGTAGAGTCTGCTATTAGCTCAGGACTTTGTATTTCTATTCTGGAAAATGATTCCCACAAATTACCTACTGTGTAAGCAACTGTAAATTCCTTACAGTGTGCTGAAGAGTCCTGAAATCCAAGACAGCATCAACACCAACATTAGCATGAGAGAGAGTGAAAATTAAGTGGGCAGAATAAGGTGCGTAAGTATAGGCTGCCATTTTAGCTAAAATTACATCTCACATTTCATCACTGACTCATATTCATTCCCTACCCAAGTTTTATCAGTTTTACTAATAAAATGTCCTCTGACTTCATAATGATGACGGAACCAACCTATGTTGCTTTACGGGTTGAAATGTGGTTATTAGCCCACAGCTCACAATCTAGTGATGCTAAAATCTTGCAGTCCTCAAAGACCATATGGCTCGTGCTGGATATGGCTCAGCTTACCTGGGCCCTTTTCAGCTGAGTTTAGCAGAAGTTTGGCTGAACTTCCAGTTTGGCAGGGTATCCACAAATAGCATACCCTTCCTTTCTTCAGAGGACAGCACTGCAGGTAGCACAAGGCTATCATCTCTGTTAGATAGCATGCAGAAAAAACACGTCTCCTGCAGCAATTCTGGCAGGTGTTTCCTGGCAGATCTGCCAAGATCATCTGTGGTTTGGTCTGTATATGACCCTACATGCTTCTGGTCTGTCATCAAATCAATCAAGGTACGTGAAGGTTGGGGACCAGATGCAATATCATTCTGCATCTTGTGATCTGCTTCACAGGGCTGTACTGCAAGGAGGACAGCTAAGGAAACAATCCTCAGGTGCAACCCAACGCCATGTCCCTGCCTGCTTATGTATGATGTTATGCACTAAACATATCCTTATTTTACAGTCTAGCAGGTACGATCTTGTGCATCTGACAAGTATAAACTTGAGAGACTTCTCTTCAATGACCTTTGCTGAATTTTGACACTGCCAGTTCTTCAGACTTGATAGAATTGCAGCATAAGGCAGCACAGCTGTAATTTGTTACTTTGAAATACCTGCCCATGTGAAGAGCCACCAGTCCACTCTTCCCATGTAAACTCACCTTCTCTGAGTGCTGCTGCCAGCAATGAAGCAGCCTGTGGAGTTTCTCCAGAATCAGGTTTGATAAGGAGGTGAGGTTCTACATGAACATCCTCAAACCCATTCATATCTCCCAGTTCTGCATAGATATGCAACTTCTCTTCCAAGTAACTACAGATCTGCTGGTCCTGGTTACTCAGTGATTCTGTCAACCAAAATTGAACAGTTTAATATTTTTTATCCTGCAGGCAAAGCACGTTCCCCATTCACCCTTCTAACCCTTATGCCACATAGACACATGCCTCAACTCGAGCTAGGCCTTTTTTAAGTGGCCAGGAACCAAATTAATCCCATAGTCCATCCCAACGAAAGCTGGCACAGACACTGGCAGAGGGCCAGGCCAGTGCCTACCCTGATGAGGTGGCCTTGCCTGTGCTCTGGTTTCTGTCCTGAGCTACCTCCTGTTGCACTCACAGTGATCAATGCTGGAAAAGCACTTGCCTCAGGCAGCCAGAAGATGCACTGATTCAATGCCTCAACGTCAAAGAACATCTACTCACAGTGAAGGATGCCCTTCCCTGTGGGTCTCTACAAGAAGGACATTGCTGGAATTTCTCTCCTTGCAGTAGTATAAAGATGTGGAAGTTAGGTGCAGGGGAACCAAAGAAGCAGAATTTATCCCTATAAGCTACCTTTTCAGATAAAAATAGCAGCAAAGGATGAAATGCCATAAACAAGCACAAAGCCATGCAATTACTGAAGATTTGAGGTTTTTCCACAAACAGGGAACTACCTGGCTCTGATGCTAATCTGGGAAATTCAGTGTTTATTCTGAAAGCATCCATTTTTCTTTTCCTTTTGTACTCATGGTAATGTAGCAAAAACATAAAGTGATTGGAAAAAAATGGTTCTTTTTCAATAAACTCACATTATACAATCAGACCACCTCAGCTTTCTCCACTGTGACCCTGTCTATCGACCCAGTCTGAACCCACTAGCCAGTATGGGCGCATTATTCATCCCAAACCCTGAAGATGCAGGAGCTCTCAGAGTGGCAGGAAATGTACTTCACCTTGACATTTCTGAATTCTGGATGCTTTGGCCTCAGCAATACGTCTGTCCTCATCAGATTCACTCATTTTTCCTTCTTCTTCTTCCTCTGGACAACTTCAAAGATGAAAGACAAAGGTGGATAAAGCAAAATCTGGATGTCATATATTCATCTTCAGTACAGTGTTGTGCTCATAATAAACGGAACACAACATCAACACCAACTTCTGCTACAATCCAGAAGCATGCCATTTGTCTCCTTTTTTAAAAAGCAGTAACTGGACACACACCAGACTGAAGGACTTCTTTTAATTCTGGTAAGGCTGCATCACACGGCAAATGGGTGGCTGGCCCTCACACAAGTTTGCTGTGCTAAGCATAAGCTTGGTCCCCATGAGGGGCAACACTTTCCCTGCCATTCTTAAGGACCTGACACCAAGATAACAGGCATGATTGAGGATTTCCCCAAAATGGTTGTATGGACACCTGCAGGACTCTAGAAAGCATCCAGTGCCAAAGGCAAAGGCAAGGGAAACTTACAGTGGCTGGTAAGGACATCTAACGGGGTGTGGGAAGGGTCTGCTGATTCAGTAGGAAACCAGAAGTAACCTGGCAAGTTTGTCAGAAGGTGATGGTGAAGTTTTGGGGTGTGTGAATCCTGAGCTCAGAGGAAAACCCAGCCTCGCAGGATGGATCCAGTGCAACACAGAACAGAGAGCACACTGCCACGAATATCCAACCAGCCTCACATCTGCTTTGGGCTACCAGCATGGAAAAGCAAATTTTCCTCTACCTTTCCGCTGCATCTTGAATATGCCTCATCCAGTTGTTACGTTCCTCTTTGGAGTTGGTATGAACTTCATACATCTCAGGCCCTGTAGATGAAGCGCTAATCAGAAACATCCCCCTTTCTTCGTTGGCTACTTCTCTCACTATGAGCCTCTGAAGGGAGATGACAGAAGGCTTCTGGTCCTGGGGGAAACAGTCACAGCACATGCAAACAATAAATTACTCTCTTAAAAAAATTCACACTTTTAGAAGAGCACAATTTTTCAATTAACTGGACTAATTCTAGTCCTGGTATAGTCAAGACTAGGTATGTTCTCATCAGGTATAAGAGCCTGCAAGTTTTCAGTATTCAAGCATCTTTTTAAACTATTTTTTAAAATACATTATAGTATTCATGAATAAGTAAAGCACTGGATATGTGCTAAAAAGTAAATCCCAGAGGCTTGATGATACTGAGACACAGTATTTATATAGTGTTTATATAGTTTGGGAACTTCTTTCCATGACCTTTCATACATTTTATGTGTGTTTACTACTACATCTGCAGTTAAAATTATTCTTCTGTTTTGTTTTACAGAACCAGAAGTTAAAATTTATTTTAGATAATTGAAAAAGCCTGCTATGCTTCCTGCCTTCATAATCAGATGAGATATGACACCAAAAAAACGCCAGCATTCTGTTATTTTCATCTTTCTTCCTAAAAAAATTATTTAATTTTGAAAATAAACTTGATTTTCCATATACTGGCTTATTACTGTTCTGAATACGCTACCAGGATTTTAGAAAAAAAATACATTATGTGAGGATAACATAAAAACGACCTACTTTTTGAGAAATATACAAATAAAAGTGCAATGTGTATATTCACATATCTGATAATATACTTACGACAGCTGCGAAGATGTATTTTTGATCTTTTTCTTGTAAGAACAATAGTACATCAGTTAGGAGCAGAGCTAAGGTGTCTTAAAATGAGAAAAGGAAAATAGTGGGTTTTAATTAAAGTTATTACAACCATAGTTAATTTCATATTTTATCTTTAAAATGGGAGAAGCCCTGATCAATAAATATCCCACAGAATCCTGCAGTAAACTAAACAGGAAATACCTAGATTAGCCTATGGTCTGCATGAAGCAACTGCAAGCCATCACTTTGTACCTCCCAGGAAAGACCACACATTTTGCTATCTGCCCTCCTGCAGCACTGTGCTGGAGCGCAGGCCCAGGGAAAGAAGAAATCCTAGCTCCAGTGTCAGTACAGCCTCCCCAGGCCACTCACAGGCAACCTGGCAAAGACTATCCCACATAAATTTTGTTTTGCCTGTGCTGTAACATATACTCACAGCACAGCATTGCACTGCTGAAAGTATTTCTGGAATAACAATGAACAGATAGATTTCTAAAGCTGTATAGCAAATACTAGTAAGCTCCAAAAAAACTGCAATGCCTATGTGTGATTAACACCAAAACCAAATTCTGGGCTTGCACGTAAAAATTCGGCTCCAGCCAAACATGGATTCAGGCTTTCTTTTCCACTGCAGATGTCCTAGTACAACTGAAGAACAGCAGGTGATTTTTCATACGTTATTTTCAATGGCCAATATTGAGAACAATATAAATGTACAAGTCGAGACTCTGTGTTATGGGATGAGACTGCAAACCAATGAACTAAAGAAGAAGAAATGCAGCTGATGGCTTTATATGTGACCTTGTCTTCTTACCCAGATATACAGTGGATTACCCACAGACCATGGCAGCCTCTGGAACTACACTTTTAGCAATTAGTGGCATATTCTCAATACGATTACCTCAGAAATTAGTATTTGCAATACAGGATAATAAAGTATTTTCACTCTTAAACCAAATAATCTTCATATGTTACTTGCAAATAAAGAGTTAAAGGACTCTACTGCTCAGGTGGAATACCTTTGAAACGACCAGTCGCTGTCTTCCAGTAAACTAAACCTTCATGAAGAAGTATCCTCTCTTTCCTCATCAAGTCTTGCTTCCTAAAAACGTGGCCATTTTTCAGCTTTGTGTATGTTTTGTTTTCAGTTCTACTGAGAATTTCCAGCAGCTTCTGCTTTTTCTCATATTCATTCACTTTCAAATCTACTGCTGCAATCATGTCCTTAATTAGATGAAGGGCTTTGCACAGATCTTTATGTTCTTCTGTTCCTTCTGCATGAAACAAAAAACAAACAGAATCACAGAATGGCAAGGCTTGGAAGGGACCTCGGGAGATCACCCAGTCCAATCCCCCTGCTAAAGCAGGTTCTCCTAGAGCATGTTACACAGGACTTCGTCCAGGCGGGCTTTGAATATCTCCAGAGAAGGAGACTCCACAACCCCCCTGGCCAGCCTGTTCCAGTGCTAATGATTACAACATGATAGCAGTCAGCATACACAAGAGAAGATATCATTCCTTACTTTCTGGGAACAATCAACATGATGCAAAGCTTAAATAGATAAATACGTCATTTTAAGTTGAACCTGGTAATCAATTTACTAGAAATATTAGAGGCATCTACCTTTGCTTAACTTGCCTACTAAAAGATGACATATATCTCAGATTTATTCATTAGTCAAAACAACACGCTGAATAGTTTGTGACATATTTATGAGCTGTTAGCACTTGAAAAAAAAAGAAAAATTTATTGGTTAAGTAAATCATATATTATATAACTCTTCTGGCTAAGTAAAAAAACCCGCCTGGAAACAGGATTGCAAGCACAAAGGGTTTGCATTTGGATATGCAACTTTCTACAATGCTTATTTATTGCCCATTTGGGGAGCAATATCTGCAAGCTATGAGTATTTCTAAAATGCTCTATGAAATTCCAGAGGTCATTCAAGCTTTGTTTGAAAAACTGGAGAGTAATTTACGAAATGTTTGCCTAGCCCTACTTACAAGACACTCCACTGGAATTAATTTCAAAGAAGCTGCAGATGCATGCCTGAATTAGTTCAC